TAGCTATTTCATGAAATGTTGTTTTTAGAAAAGGGGCGTTTTTTTAAAGTACCGGGGCAACCTGCTTCGTTTTCTTACTCTCTCTCTTCTTCTTGTTGATGTTTCTGTCGAGCCTTTTCCTCCAGCAACCTTTTGTAATGTGAGGCTGTCAGTACAGCCGCAGACTCTGCCTTCCTCTTCCTCGGGCTCGCCTCCTGGAGCCTCAGCCTCAGGGACAACTCCAATAGAACTGCTGAAGCTGTTGGTTGTTGGTTTAAGCAAAAACAAACAAACAACAAGAACACATGAGTATTGGTACAATAAACACTTCTAATCCGACAAATAAATACAGTAAAAAATATCCTGATAAATTCTGGTTCTTTCAATCACATTAATCTCTCTTCTCTGCCTGTCTGCCTCCCTTTCTATGTCTTGAGTTGAGCTATTGCTAGTGAAGTTCAACATTGTATCAAATCATCAGATGGGTCCAGCCCAAAGCTGTCCTAACGAACTTGCAACATTATTAGGCTATTGAAATTAAACTTTTCCACGGAATTGTGCATAACTGGCACGCAGATCAGTAGAAATGGTAGGATATGTAAGCTTCCCCAAACTTGAAACTCACGAGCTGCCTATAGACTTTACTATTACACCCATTGCACAGTTTAGGAGGCCCTGTGAAAAAAAAATGGGCCCGCCTATGGAAATCAAATGCCCGTCCAACTGATTTGTTCTGGCGCCGGGTCTGCTCTAAGTCTGTATGTAGGCTACACACCTCTCAAGGACATCATGAGTGTCTGCTCGCTCGTGCATCTTCACTGCTACCTTCTCCTTTAAGGAGCTATTTTAGGTGTGTGGACAGGTGAATCGTGATCACTCCATCCATGTCCCTGCTCCATTCACAACTCACTCACCATTCACATTCTGAGGCAATTGGGGAGTGATGGAGCCGAAATAAACAAATTCTGTCACGGATTCCGCCGAGGCTGCTCCTCCTCCTTGTTCGGGCAGGCTTCGGCGTTCGTTGTCCCCGGAGTACTAGCTGCTACCGTTTGATGTTATCTATGTTTGTTTGGTTTTGTCTGATTAGTGCACCTGTTCTATATCACGTATTGATTATGTCACCTATAAGTTTCCTTTGGTTTTGTTTGTAGTTGTGTGTTGTTGTCCGCTGGTGAGGTGCATTTGCTCTCGTATATTTAGAGTATTGACGCACTGTATGCGTAATCTCTTGTATTTTGTGTATATACGCACATTATGCGTAATCGCTCGCCTCCGTTGTGTTGAGGCCCGTTATTTTGTATTGTCGTGTTCTTACAAGTAAAGTCTGTTGGACTAAGCTTCTGTGTCCTGCGCCTGACTCCAACACTACATCCACATCAGCCCTTGACAAATTCAATCCGTTTTTCCAGCCGTAGACTGCTCTCTCGCTCTGTCTATCTACTCATACTGGAAGTTGAAGGAAAGTTAATTTGATCAAATTGTTATATCACGTCTGAGTTCTGCCAACGACGGGGAGAAAAAAGGACAAAATTGAATAATTTAAAAATAAATAAATGGGTTTTATTGGGAAAACAGCATACCACAGGGGCTATTGATGTGCAACATAAGAACATATGCATATTTAGGAACTCATACATGTGTTTAAACAACAAACAGTGGACATAAGGTATTTTGCTAATACACTAATTGGCATAAACTATCTCATCCCATCTAATTTGAGGTTAGGCTGTTACGTCCCAAATGGCACCCTATTGCCTATATAGTAGACTACTTGACCAGGGCCCATAGTGCACTACATAGGGATTAGGGTGCCATTTGGGACAAACAGTGAGAGAGCTTTACCATAGCCACTGATTGATCCCTAATGTGTTGCACTCTCTGACACCAACCCGTTGTTGAGTCGTGCCCGCTTATGAAGGCCCCTTAGTTGCTATAGAGATGGAGTATCCATGGCAACTGGGTGAGATCCGGGTAGTGGGTACAAGCCATTTTACATTAGCGGGGGTAATACATTAAGTTAATAGGGTGAGGGGAATGAGTGCTAGACTTCCATCAGTGTCCCACATTAATAAAAGGACAAGCTCTTACAGGGGTGAACGTGAACTGGTAGAGCTAAATCAATTCGGTAAAAATAAGGAATCTTTAAAAAAAACACGAGCATTTCAGTAACTAGGTGGATTTGAGCAAATATATTGTACAGGCTGAAATGGCCATCTGACCAATTTCATTCTTAAAAACATGAAACTCATTTCATGTGACAGGTAAGCGTTGAGTCTTCACATGGTAAGTTATTTATATTTCTATCTATGGTTTCTTTGGCACATTCATTCAGATCCATTTACAGACAAACCAACCAAATGTTTGAGCAAACAAAACATTCAATAAAAATACTGATATATAAAATTAAATTCCCTTTCCTCCAGAGAAAGGTATCTCTACACCATCCCCTCTGGAATATAAACTATACACATTAAAAACTTTAGTCAAATGTTTAAAAACAACACATAATATTAGACAATAAACAAAATAAATAGACATTGTCACATTTCCAAATCACTTAAACCGATTCTGACAATATTCTGTGAATAGACAAAAAAATATTTCATTCACATACAGTAAATGGAGCAACAGGTTAGTGGTATTACTGAAAAAAATATATTAAAAAAACTAATTGAAGGAAGCAAATTGTAGAATTGTCCTGATATCATTTGGAAAGGAAATGTGCAAAGTCATGGTGCAACTCTGGATTCTGAGGTAATGCTTGTAGTTTTTATCAAGACTTCAAATATTTTTTCTAAGATAAATATTAAAATTCTGATGAATTGCTAGTCATTTCAAATAATTTCTAGGTACATATGATAGGTGATCCAGGTACCTGGCATTTCGATATAAGAACGGAAATGTCAAAGTAATACAAATAATCAAAATAACAATTTACATCTCTTCACATTAATGATGCACTCTCAATCATTCTGTCACCCACCTTCCTTATGCAAGCACATGTTTCGTAAGAAAAATACTAGGCTTAACACTCACTCAAAGAACTGTAGATATTCACCCATCTGTCAAAAATAGGGCCCCAGAATGCTTACTAGGACATTCAAGGAAAGAGTCCATGCCATGAATTCCAACCAGGCCATAGACAATGAGTATGTTTACATGCACACTAATAATTCGATATTAAAACAGATTATCAAATTTTATTGGCCACATGCGCCGAATACAACAGGTGCAGACATTACAGTGAAATGCTTACTTACAGCCCTTAACCAACAGTGCATTTATTTTTAATAAAAAAAGTAGAATAAAACAACAAAAAAAGTGTTGAGAAAAAAAGAGCAGAAGTAAAATAAAATAACAGTAGGGAGGCTATATATACAGGGGGGTACCGGTGCAGAGTCAATGTGCGGGGGCACCGGCTAGTTGAGGTAGTTGAAGTAATATGTACATGTGGGTAGAGTTAAAGTGACTATGCATAAATAATTAACAGAGTAGCAGCAGCGTAAAAATATGGGGTGGGGGGGCAGTGCAAATAGTCCGGGTAGCCATGATTAGCTGTTCAGGAGTCTTATGGCTTGGGGGTAGAAGCTGTTGAGAAGTCTTTTGGACCTAGACTTGACACTCCGGTACTGCTTGACGTGCGGTAGCAGAGAGAACAGTCTATGACTAGGGTGGCTGGAGTCTTAGACAATTTTGAGGGCCTTCCTCTGACACCGCCTGGTATAGAGGTCCTGGATGGCAGGATGCTTGGCCCCAGTGATGTACTGGGCCGTACGCACTACCCGCTGTAGTGCCTTGCGGTCGGAGGCCAAGCAGTTGCCATACCAGGCGGTGATGCAACCAGTCAGAATGCTCTCGATGGTGCAGCTGTAGACATTTTTGAGGATCTGAGGACCCATGCCAAATCTTTTCAGTCTCCTGAGGGGGAATAGGCTTTGTCGTGCCCTCTTCACGACTGTCTTGGTGTGTTTGGACCATGATAGTTCGTTGGTGATGTGGACACCAAGGAACTTGAAGCTCTCAACCTGTTCCACTACAGCCCCGTCGATGAGAATGGGGGCGTGCTCAGTCCTCTTTTTCCTGTAGTCCACAATCATCTCCTTTGTCTTGGTCACATTGAGGGAGAGGTTGTTATCCTGGCACCACACGGCCAGGTCTCTGACCTCCTCCCTATAGGCTGTCTCATCGTTGTCGGTGATCAGGCCTACCACTGTTGTGTCGTCGGCAAACTTGATGGTGTTGGAGTCGTGCCTGGCCATGCAGTCATGGGTGAACAGGGAGTACAGGAGGGGACTGAGCACGCACCCCTGAGTGGCCCCCGTGTTGAGGATCAGTGTGGAAGATGTGTTGTTACCTACAACACCTACCCTGCTTTAGTTTTTGCAGTAGGCAGATTATGCAATAGTCATGTGAACACCTTACTCTGCTTATCTTATTCGGCGTAAGGTCAAAATCGAAGTAAGCATGCGCTGATTAAAACACCTGGTTTTCTGAGCGATCTTTCTAATTATTAGGACATGTAAACACCTTAAATCTGTGATCCAGCGGTGTTTTTTGATCTGTGCATGTGCTAGCACCAGCCGAGCGAGCCTCCCTCTTTAGTGCAGGTGAAGTGAGTTCGGAACAACTGAATGTATGCGTTCTTCTTAATATGCCATTTAGCAGACACTTTTATCCAAAGCGACTTACAGTCATGCGTGCATAAATTGTTTGTGTATGGGTGGTCCCGGGGATCGAACCCACTACCCTGGCGTTACAAGCGCCGTGCTCTACCAGTTGAGGTTATTATCAAATGCAGGAAACCAACCTCAACCCAAACCAGTCACTGAAACCAGACTCAGCAACTGATACAAAGCCGGGACTAAGCGTGTGTTAGTTTAGTAGAAGATAAAAGTACTTCCCTTTGTGCTCCTGTGCCTCTGTTTCTAGGTGATAAGAAGACGACTGGCCATGACGAGAGCTTGGACAATGGGGCTACCAACCAGTGAAGCTACACAGGAGTCTGCTGACAATGTCAGCTATCGTCCATTCTCAGATAGTGTGCGTTGACTCCGTCCTGTAGGGGACCCATGGTAAACACCACGTATAGAGGATGAGCCGTGGAAGAGAGACTAGCACCAGGATGGAGGGAATTGAGGGGAACCAGATAGGGAAAATGGGAGAATCTGACCTGTAAGGGTCTTAGAACCACACCACGATATTTGAAGGATAAACCAGGTGGGATGGAGCTAAGAAGAAAACACCTCCCAGCCTGCAGTAGCAGCCATAGAAATAGAATGAATAGAACCGGCGTCCCCATTCTAGTCAATGATTGCATAATGGGTGTGTACCCATGCGAGTGTACCCATAGGAGCAATGCAGGAAGTAAAAGCAAGAAGTGTACCCATCAATATGTGCTGTGATTTGTTGATTCAACTCAATTGACAAAAAAAACACATTGTACATTACCATGGAAATTATTGCATCACAATACCAGGCAGCCTTGCGAGTGTACCCATCAGATTACCAGTCAAATTGCCAGGATTAGAGGTTCCAAGGCTGATCTATTCATTCTATTTCTATGGCAGCAGCACCAAACGGGGTCTCCCTTGGGTTAAACCAGGTTCTGGTCAGGTGTCGAGGTTGGATTGCACCCGTCGGCGAGCCAGCCAGGAATTGGAGAGGTGTGAGAGTGGTGACGACTTCCTCCTGCTCCTCGTCATGCTGCGACAGCTGGCGGTTGAAGGCGATGGCATCGGCCGCAAACTGGGTTAAGTCTTTGGTGCTGCTGTTCCTGTAGAAGGAACGAGCAGACGATCAGTCGGCGATTGATAAAATTAGCGATGATAGATCACACGTTTAGCTCTAGGAGCCATACACCCAATTCTAAAACATTGCACTCCAAAATCTAATTTTGTTAGATGTTTTCTGACATCAAACTGTCAAATCGAGTACATTACGCTACCTTGGGCTGAAAACTTAGGACAAACTTTGAATTTGGAGTGCAATGTCCCTTTAAGCCCTCTCTGTATGATTTTGTTAGCCATCTGCCTGCCATATTTGAGGAGAAATGAGCTGTTATGTACTATACATTCTGTCCAATGAGAGCTGAGTGGATTACCTTTGGAGGAAATGTGGAGTTGGGAGACCTCTCTCTGGTGCATTCTGGGGGAAATAAATATCACGTTTAAATATAACAGTGTCCATTTATTTTAATCGTATCCTTTCCTTCATCACAGATGTACAGTTTGGAGGAAATGGACTGGTGAAGCCCACTGGTTTCTTATAGGTGGCTTTCAGCCTTCTCAGATTAGTGTAGAATAGATGACAGAGGAGACAAGGCAAGGAAGCCAATTAAGAGTATTGAGACCCACCCGAACAATAGATCCAGTATGTTATGGCCATACACCCATACAGAGGACCAATTAAGTTTTGGCCTTGGCACTCACCCCCTGCACCCAGGGGTGCTGCAGAACCTGGGCAGCACTGAGGCGCAGTGTGGCGTCCCGTACCAGTAGCCTGGAGATGAGGTCCTTGGCCTGGGCAGAGATATGGGCCCAGTCCCTCTTTGGGAACTCAAACTACCCATCCTGGATGTTCTCAAACAGGTTATTCTGCAGGGGTCCGACACAACATAGACTTATAATTTGACTTTTTACTATAATAACATGACTCAGTCATTATAAATGCTCAACAATGCTTAATACAAATAGTGCTGTAGTAGTGCTGTGTAAGGTGAACTGGGGTTATGAGGACTGGTGATGGTGTGTGTGGGGATGTGTGTGCATGTACACTATGTTTGTGTACCTGGCAGGTGCGGCAGGTCTCTCCTCGGTCCCAGCCACAGTCGGTCCCACAGTGGCCGGTGAAGGGGGGGCTGCCGCTCAGCAGAATATAAAGGATGACCCCCAGGCTCCAAAGGTCACAGCGCTTGTCGTAGAACGAAGCCTCGTCTGTGAACACCACCACCTCTGGGGCCATGTACTCTGCCGAGCCATACTGACGAGGAGAACACAAAACCACACACCGTTTGGGCATAAGTCAAATCAAATTTTATTTCAAGTGCATTTAAAATCACAACACTCTTTACAGTAAAAGTGAAAAATGTGCATTCCCGCAGACTTGTGGGCCCCAACAGAGATCATTGAGGCGCGGTTGGCATTTTTCATGCTGCGGGTGGGAACAGGCGGTCAGACAAACAACTTTGGGATTAGGCTACTTGGAAACAGTTGTCATTCTGTTTTGTATGCGTTAGCCAATCTATTGTATTAAAAGCACCTCTTTGTCGCACTATTCACACACAGTCATAATTCGCTGCGTCAAGTTCAGTAGCCTATAACTCTCCTCTCCTAGTTGGGCGTGCGAGATCAAGGTCACCTATAGGCTACAGTTGAAGTCGGAAGTTTACATACACCTTAGCCAAATACAATTAAACTCAGTTTTTCACAATTCCTGACATTTAATCCTAGTAAAAATGTCCTGTCTTAGGTCAGTTAGGATCACCACTTTATTTTAAGAATGTGAAATGTCAGAATAATAGTAGAGAGAATGATTTATTTAAGCTTTTATTTATTTCATCACATTCCCAGTGGATCAGAAGTTTACATACACTCAATTAGTATTTGGTAGCATTGCCTTTACATTTTTTTACTTGGGTCAAACGGTTCGGGTAGCCTTTCACAAGCTTTCCACAATAAGTTGGGTGAATTTTGGCCCATTCCTCCTGACAGAGCTGGTGTAACTGAGTCAGGTTTGTAGGCCTCCTTGCTCGCACACGCTTTTTCAGTTCTGCCCACACATTTTCTATAGGATTGAGGTCGGGGCTTTGTGATGGCCACTCCAATACCTTGACTTTGTTGTCCTTAAGCCATTTTGCCACAACTTTGGAAGTATGCTTGGGGTCATTGTCAATTTGGAAGATCCATTTGCGACCAAGCTTTAACTTCCTGACTGATGTCTTGAGATGTTGCTTCAATATATCCACATAATTTTCCTTCCTCATGATGCCATCTATTTTGTGAAGTGCACCAGTCCCTCCTGCAGCATGATGCTACCACCCCGTGCTTCACGGTTGGGATGGTGTTATTCGGCTTGCAAGCCCCCCCTTTTTCCTCCAAACATAACAATGGTCATTATGGCCAAAAGTCATCAGACCAGAGGACATTTCTCCAAAAGGTACGATCTTTGTCCCCATGTGCAGTTGCAAACCGTAGTCTGGCTTTTTTATGCCGGTTTTGGAGCAGTGGCTTCTTCCTTGCTGAGCGGCCTTTCAGGTTACGTCGATATAGGACTCGTTTTTACTGTGGATATAGATACTTTTATACCTGTTTCCTCCAGCATCTTCACAAGGTCCTTTGCTGTTGTTCTGGGATTGATTTGCACTTTTCGGACCAAAGTACATTCAGCTCTAGGAGACAGAACGAGTCCCCTTCCTGAGCGGTATGATGGCTGCGTGGTCCCATCGTGTTTATACGTGCATACTATTGTTTGTACAGATGAACGAGGTACCTTCAGGCATTTGGAAATTGCTCCCAAGGATGAACAAGACTTGTGGAGGTCTACAATTTTTTTCCTGAGGTCTTGGCTGATTTTATTTTTATTTCCCATGATGTCAAGCAAAGAGGCACGGAGTGTGAAGGTAGGCCTTGAAATACATCCACAGGTACACCTCCAATTGACTCAAATGATGTCAATTAGCCTATCAGAAGCTTATAAAGCTATGACATCATTTTCTGGAATTTTCCAAGCTGTTTAAAAGCACAGTCGACTTAGTGTATGTAAACTGCTGACCCACTGGAATTGTGATACAGTGAATTATAAGTGAAATAATCTGTCTGTAAACAATTGTTGGAAAAATTACTTGTGTCATGCACAAAGTAGATCTCCTAACCGACTTGCCAAAACTATAGTTTGTTAACAAGAAATTTGTGGAGTGGTTGAAAAACTAATTAATGACTCCAACCTAAGTGTATGTAAACTTCCGACTTCAACTGTATATGTGTGGTCTCATTTCAATGCATGGGCAGAGAATCACGTGGCAGTTACCTTTCCAAGGAAATTAACTTAAATATGATTAGGCTACAGTTTACTAGTGTCTGGAAATAAATATTGATAATGGAAAGAAGTGGAGAGCGCTCAACCAACGTGAGTCGAAATGCAAACAAAACATTGATTATAATTGAAAAAGGTTGCACTTTTTCATTTTTTCTGGACTGATAATCAATTTGTCGCTCCAACTCTGGCTCTCCTTCAAACTACGTCTAGCCTATTGGCTGATATAGCCCAGTAATAATGATAGCCTAATATAATTGGCCATGTGAGAATCTCTGGTAATTTCACCTATTTCTTGGGGGATCTTTGCGCATTTTGATATTGCCTATAGGACACAAAATTGCTGGGACCATGGCTGCCAAGCGAGCTGTGTCACATACGCCTAAAATAACATTCGCAGGACTGCGGTCCGGTTTGGGACCAGTTCTTGTGGGAGCGGGTGGGAGTCAGAAAAAAAGATGGCGGGTGCGGTATGAAAAACCGCTGCAGCGGGCGGGATGAATAAATCAGTCCCGCACAGACCTCTACACTAAGGGACCATGAGGACATTGCCCCGAAAGTGGCACGTACACACACAGGGTTAGAGGTAGGATCAGGCTAAGGTTGTGGTATTTACCAGCGTGGTGAGCTCTGGAGTGGTGAAGGGAGTACAGGCACTGCTGAATTTCACTCCGCTTCCCAAGTCAAACATCTTCACTGGAGACACCTGTAATGGGAGGGAGATAAAAATAGTACATGCATTCATTTACAGGCATTCACTATACCCACAATTAACAGTATGGTTTTTAAGTTAATATTCACAACATCATTATCTACTTTGATTTGTTGTTGTTTCGTAGCACATTGGGGGTAAAAAGGTTACCTGATCCGTGGATTCACAAAGGATATTCTCTGGCTTTAGGTCTCGGTGGGCGATACCTGTGAAACAGATCATGTGCATGAAGAAACAGGTCACACTAATTGTTACTACCATTACTACTAAAGTAGCTACCACAAATATATTTTTACCCCCACTACAACTTCTTTCACTACTTCAAGCACACACTTTTTCTTCAGTAAGTTTCCTTTTCTAGTTGTATGCAGGTCAATCTAATTATATGCAGGCACTAGCAGGGGCAGCCCCATGGGCAGGGCATGGGTCCTACCTTTGGTGTGGAGAGCTTTGGAGATGTCCCTGACCACCCGGCTGGCCTCCAGCTCATCAAAGTGTTTACGGTTCTGAATGTGAGTCAGAATGGAGCCTGTATGGGCACAATAGAGGAGAGAGATGAGCTTTCAGTGAAACACTTAATCTTTTAATGTACCCTGGGTCATGTTCATTAGGCCGGAATGTAGCAATATGTTTTGCAACAAAAAACATGTGTTTTTATTGGACAAGTTCAGGTACAGTCCTACCTCCACATTTCATTTAGTTTTCTTCTATATTGTGGATAATGAACACAACCCAGCTTCACCCTCAAAAAGGTGGGATATGGTAAAAACAAGAACACAGAAAAAGCATACCTCCGCGCAACTTCTCAAACACCAAGTAGAAGCAGGAGTCGTCCTCAAAAAACTATCAACTCCAGAATGTTCCTGAAAATGTCAATAGGAACACATTCGTGGGTGACAATCAATTTTTGGAATCCTTTAACCTTCAGGACTTGACCTTTATAGAGTGAAAGAGCACACCAGTTCCCCTGGCACTGGTAAAGGGTCTCCACTTCACAGAAGAAATGGCTGCAACTGTGCCCCACGTTCTTCTCAATGATCTGAGCCCCCCAAAACATTACACGCGTATCGGTGAGTGAAGAATCATACTTTAACTATGATGACAAGAAAAGCTTTGCGTTCACGATGTGATCTACTCCAATTGTTGGGTATGGTGTATGAAATGTATCAAAAGTCCCTTTGAAACATTTTCTATTAAGTATACTTATAATGCCTTATTATACACTTATAATGTGTTATAAGTTACACTGACAGTCCCTTCTCTGACTCAACTTCACAGCATATTCATTCCCATTCTGAAGACTGATGCACCCTTGCATATGCACCCTAACCCAGCAATTCATCTGTCAGTTTGTACAGGTCTGGAGAAAAGAGAAGAGCACAAAAGCCTGTGTCTGTTTTTTATGGTATCAGTGCATTTCTTAAAACCTAATGTGCACGGACCAGCTTGTCCGAAACACCCTAACACAGGCGGGAGGCATGAAATGAACAGACCGGAGGCAGTGGTTGTTGTTCCTTTGCTTTTGTATTGTCAATATACGTGTTTTCTTTCACCCGACAAAATGATTCCAGTACAGGGTAGTGTCCACCGCTGAAACAACAGCGAAAAAAAATGAATAAAAATAAACTAAGCAGTTGACCTAAAGGCCGTGGCCAAACAGGGAAAACAAAACAACAAAATGCTTTACCCGTCTTTAGACTATCATCTACACATAACATTTTCAAGGGGAACGCTTCTCTCTACCTATAGCCTGCCTTGCTTAACCGAGAGCCAAAATGCATCGGAAGAAGAAGCTTTCGCTGAGGTAGGCGAGTATGATGTCCTCACAGGTCCCTGTGTATGCTCCCAGCCCCGAGCTCATCTCCTGGCACACCTTTATAGAGGGAGACACAAAGCAATTAGTGGGCTCAGCTGTGTACTAATTGGCTTTACACTGAGTCCCTATCCCCTGAGGAGGGTGCTGTTGTGTCGTCTTCCTCCGGCCGGTCACTGAACTCTCACACTAGATTGTGAATGACATGAGTGATATGATATTTGACATAGCCGTCTGATTAATCCTTATTGTTATTACCGTTGAAGTTTCCAGTGAAGCTGTCTGTTGCTCGTCCTCCTTTTCTTCTTCTGTCGTTTGGCTGAGTCTGAACTGCTTCCTGGCTGGCTGGCCTCCACCTCTGTATAAACAAGTCAACTGTTAATTCAGGTCAACCGCAGGGGTTGGCTGCTCAACGGAAAGACTGTTTTCTTACGTTGTGAATGATTGCTTGAATCGTAACGCATCGATAGATCCTTTAATGGACTAAGTGAGGGTGATGTACTATTAGCCAATTTGATAACAAATAAATGATTGCTTAAATCATTGTGTATACTGACTAACATGTTAGACTATTATGTGCCAATTTGATAATAAAGCAATTATTGCTTAAATTGCACAGTGTGGGCAATGTGCATGCTGACTAATTATGCACTATGTGCCAATGTGATAACCCAGCAGACAGTGAGTTGGTTGTGAAGCTGGGCCCGTATCCACAAAGCATCTCAGAGTAGGAGTGCTGATCTAGGATCTGTCCATATAATCTTATTAATTACGATCTAAAAGGCAAAACTGATCTAAGATCAGCACTCCTACTTTGAGACGTTTTGTGGATACGTGGCCTGGTCTGAGGTGAAGTACCTGGAGGACCTTGTGAGAGGCGCTGGCACTCCTTTGTGGCAGTGATCTCCCCATTCTGCTGTCCCCCACAGCTGTCCCCTACTGCATCAGAGGCCAGAGTGTTACTCTGTAACTGAGAGTGGAAAAGAGAGAGAGGAAGAGAGAGTGGGAGGGAGAGCAAGAAAGCAGAGCCAGAGAGATCAGGCGGTGGAGGGAGAGAAAGAACAAGGAGGAGCACAGTGTGTCACCTTTGTACTTAAAAGTACCAGTGCACGTCTAAACCCCCCAAAACAACACCCACATAAATTAACTAATCTACTGATATGGCATATTCTAGATAAAACAGCAATACAGTATAATTACTACAACCAAGCTTCTGGTTTAAAACAAGGTTATCTTCCCCTGTGGCTGCCTGCCAATACGGTCCACTGATAGGCAAACACAAACGTGAAACACTGACAAACAGTTGAGAAAGACCTTATCTGACCCTGGATATTCCCAAACACACTTTTACATCCTGTGATAGTATAGGCTTGTTTGTATTACTCATGGAAAATGATGCTACATTTCTGATTTAACATCAACATAAGCATAATAACTGGCAGTCTGGTACTACTCGACTCTACTGTTATTATCTCTGAGGCAACAGAAAAGGTTAAGGGAAGTCACAAGTGTGTTATGACAAGTTAGTAAGCTAGTTACTGTAGTTAGCTATTTCTGACAGCAATTTGGGTTACCTGGAGCGTGCTGGAAGGCTTGCAGCTCTACCATCGTGCTCTGCCTCACCATATCTGGCAACTGAAAAAAATAATGAAAAATTTCGGGTAGTTAGTTATCTAGTAGTACATCAGTATGTGAGCGGGGGCAAAACAAGACAGAAAATGTAACATGTGAAGACCCCATAGCATAGAGCTGGCTTTCCCAACATAATGATATGGCATGCTCTCACTTGAACACACATTCTACAGAACTGGCTGGACTTTTTCTTACCGTTTTCACAAATATGCAGAGCTGTTTCTATAGTTTAACTACTGTAGGCTATGTGTCAGACATATCTGGGTCATTCATTGGGTGAGTTACCGACTCGAGTAATTCAAGCAAACCCAGCTCGACTTCTTACTGGTGAAAGCAGTCACGACTTGGTCGTGCCAGACTGGAGCAAATAAAAATAGCTAACGTTAACTAGCTATCGCAGCTTTCGACCTTATTAGCTACATAGTATTTGCTAGCTATCTAGCTAACCATATATCAGCTCAGTTTCATAACGACGTTATGAAATTGACACTATATGAAAATAATTTCATGATCAGCTGAGCTTGATATGAAAAGCCAAAGCAACCTTAACAAGACATTCGCGCTAGTTGAGTCAGCTAATACGTCTTGCTAGCCAACGTTAGCTAGCTAATGAAGTTATGAATTACTTATGGTATTGTAATGAAACAGGCAGAATGCAGGTCTTGAACCCTCAACCTTCTAGCCCGAAGTCCAGCGCGCCATTGACTGTGCCACAAAAGCATGCTAGCATGGCAAAGTCGATATCCGCGTTTATAAACCCAGGGTCGTTACACAACTCCCTCCTTTCAATGTGCGTGTCCTCGCGCTAGCTTACAACTCAACGTCTTATACGAGATGTAAAATCATTGAACAGCTGCTCTTGTGATCATTGTCATTAAGCCACACCTTCCCACTTGCGTTAGAAGTTCAGAATGAGAAAGTGTTTTATTTTTATTTTATTTAACCTTTATTTAACCAGTTAAGCCAGTTGCGAACAAGTTCTCATTTACAACTGCGACCTGGCCAAGATAAAGCAAAGCAGTGCGATAAAAACAACAACACAGAGTTACATATGGGGTAAAACTAAACATAAAGTCAAAAATACAACAGAAAATATATATACAGTGTGTGCAAATGTAGCAAGTTATGGAGGTAAGGCAAAAAATAGGAGATAGTGCAAAATAATTACAATTAGTATTAACACTGGAATGATAGAGATTATGTGCAAATAGAGATACTGGGGTGCAAATGAGCAAAATAAATAACAATATGGGGATGAGGTAGTTGGGTGGGCTAATTTCAGATGGGCTGTGAGGTGCAGTGATCGGTAAGGTGCTCTGACAACTGATGCTTAACGTTAGTGAGGGAGATAAGAGTCTCCAGCTTCAGAGATTTTTGCAATTCGTTCCAGTCATTGGCAGCAGAGAACTGGAAGGAATGGCGGCCAAAGGAGGTGTTGGCTTTGGGGATGACCAGTGAGATATACCTGCTGGAGCGCATACTACGGGTGGGTGTTGCTATGGTGACCAATGAGCTAAGATAAGGTGGGGATTTGCCTAGCAGTGATTTATAGATGGCCTGGAGCCAGTGTGTTTGGCGACGATAATGTAGTGAGGACCAGCCAACAAGAGCGTACAGGTCACAGTGGTGGGTAGTATATGGGGCTTTGGTGACAAAACGGATGGCACTGTGATAGACAACATCCAATTTGCTGAGTAGAGTGTTGGAGGCTATTTTGTAAATGACATCGCCGATGTGGGGGGGGGGGGGGGGGGGGGGTGGCATGGGCAAGTTGCAGCGGAGGGTGCAGAGCTGGTGGCCGGGGTAGTGGTATCCAGGTGGAAAGCATGGCCAGCCGTAGCAAAATGCTTGTTGAAATTCTCGATTATTGTAGATTTATCGGTGGTGACAGTGTTTCCTAGCCTCAGTGCAGTGGGCAGCTGGGAGGAGGTGCTCTTATTCTCCATGGACTTTACAGTGTCCCAAAACTTTTTGGAGTTAGTGCTACAGGATGCAAATTTCTGTTTGAAAAAGCTAGCCTTTGCTTTCCTAACTGCTTGTGTATATTGGTTCCTGACTTCCCTGAAAAGTTGCATATCGCGGGGGCTATTTGATGCTAATGCAGTACGCCACAGGATGTTTTTGTGCTGGTCAAGGGCAGTCAAGTCTGAGGAGAACCAGGGGCTATATCTGTTCTTAGTTCAGTATTTTTTGAATGGTGCATGTTTATTTAAGATTGAGAGGAAATTACTTTTAAAGAACAACCAGGCATCCTCTACTGACGGAATGAGATCTATATCCATCCAGGAGACCTGGGCCAGGTCAATTAGGAAGGCCTGCTCGCTAAAGTGTTTTAGGGAGCGTTTGACAGTGATGAGGGGTGGTCGTTTGACCGCGGACCCGTTACGGACGCAGGCAATAAGGCAGTGATCGCTGAGATCCTGGTTGAAGACAGCTGAGGTGTATTTAGAGGGTAAGTTAGTCAGGATGATATCTATGAGAGTACCCATGTTTACGGATTTAGGGTTATACCTGATAGGTTCGTTGTTCATTTGTGTGAGATTGAAGGCATCTAGTTTGGATTGTAGGATGGCCGGGGTGTTAAGCATATCCCAATTTAGGTCACCAAGCAG